ACATTCCATTTGTGCAATAGTGCATTAAGTGGAATGAAAAATCAGGCATGCCTGTCTTAAACAAAGACTTCATGCCAACAATTAGAAGCAACCTCTGAGCAACTTCAAGAATCTCTCCCAGTGTCCCAGGTATTGCTAATTAATTTCAATTTTACTATCAAGCTATTCAGGAAAACCTACAATCGAATGGGCAGAAATGAGCAGAAAGAGAAACTTTAAAAAAAGCAAAAACTTAATGGCATGATTTCAGACTGCTGAAGGATTCAAAAGCGCTTTTTATCTATGCAATCTGGAGAAAAGGCTGTGGCCTTTTATTTCAAATTCACACCAAGTAATTGTTGTTCATGCTATCATGGAGAGAAATGCATTCCATGAATGGCTGTCATAGGCTGCATGAAAGAAGAAGCCAGTGATAAATGTGGTGGCATTCTAACTGGGTAAGTGGCTGCAAACGTAAGTATTGGCACTACAAAGTCTACACTGGTTTCCTCTAGCCTTTCAGGCACAATACATGATCCACATTTTGACCTAGAAATCCTTTTGAACTAAATGACAAGTGTACATATGCAGGAATTTTCCATGGCTGACCTACAAAGTATGGAATTCTTTCCTCCAGTTGATTAAAATGTGCACAACTATTTTCTGAATGCACACGATTTTTGAAAGGATAATTTTCTAGAAAGGAGGATTTTAACTGGCTTAAAGACATGTTGAAGAAAATTAGCACACTGCTTGTATTGCCAAAGAAACCCGTGATTCAAGAATCCAGACAGCTGTTATGCATTCAAATAACTATATATTTAAAATATATAGTAGTTCCTAATCATGGATCTCCCCCTCCAAGGAAAACTGTTTTCTAAAACATACATATCAAAACAAGCTATAATCTCTTCCTGAATTATCAGGACAATAGTGGTATACACCTGGGTCACAGACCATCTAAACGTGCTTTTTCTTCCAATCCATTTTCTTTTCCAAATACATGGAATGGCAAGGAACTTTCATTCCTATAATGTGGTACACAAGGTCTAATGTTACTATCATTCCTGCTGGTGGATCATTATATTTACACTATTAATACTACCTACAATAAAAGCCTATTCATATGATCAAATATCATAGTATATTTTTATTACACCAGTATCATTTGACTGATGCCTGAGGCTTAATGTCTTCAGAGCTGTGCAGCTTCATTTCAACAAAACAGCACAATGAATAGACAAGAGCATTGAATTACAAATACAATTTGGCATGCTGATCTAACATAAAGAGATCTGAGCACTGCAGGAGAGATCTGAAATTCGAGGTTTTTCATCTGATAAAAACTCATACCTGGTTGTGTATTGGCACAATAATTTTTATTCGAACCCCTCTAAACTAGCTGGAGGAACATTCAGATTTGCATCTCCATTCCAGACCAAATTACTTACTAACAAGATCAGGATCCCTGTCCCACTGCTCTCAGGTAAAATTAATATGGTTCTATGAAATTATTGGCAGCGATAAGAGAGGAATGGGGAGAAAAATGAGATCCAAATCAGCATAAGCCTTTTGTTCTGGGATATCAGAAAAGGAAATACAGCTTTTTTTCACAGGTTTATTGATAAATGTCAGGATAGAAACAAGTGTTACAACAAACAGAGAACTCCTTCTTAAGTTCCCCTACAATTTAAAGCAGGGGTGGGCAAAATGTGACCCCCTGACTACTTCAACTCCCCAGAACCAGTTGTTGTTTTTTATAGAAGATTAAAAATTATTTGCTCAAAAGGTCCTGTGCTTTATGGGGGTACACTTTCTGGAAGTATCCAGCAACCTTGGGGCCACCTCCACAATTTGTTTTTTTTAAATGGGGGGTTGCTATTAGAAGGCTTGAGAAGCTTGACAAAAACGTGGAAAGAGCACATGTTATTCTAGACATTATAGAGAAGGAGGGAAGAAAGTTTTGATAGCACGTCCTATGCGTTCTCTATCCTCAGAATTCTCAAGGTTTCTCTTACTATTTACAGCAATCTGGGCTATTTTTTATATTTGTAAAATTATATCTACAATATGCAGGCTCACATGAGGTAGTAAGAGAGATGAGCAGAAAGAGAAACTGAAAAAAGCAAAAACTTAATTAGAGGAATAAAAATGGAAAGATGGAGGCACGAAATTCCATCTGAACTAACACTGTTCAACATTATGAAAACTGCATGATCTGAGCAGATACTACTTATGCCTGGTGGTCATTTGTAATTAAAATAAAAAACATAAGGAACGTGTTAATAAGGAAAGAAATTTCTAATGAAACCACTGGATAAAAAAGGAAATATTTCATAACTATATGATCTCCATTATTGTGAGTCAAGGCTAAGAGCACGTCCAAGTATAAACCAGGAATCACAAAGTTGCACTATCAGTATCAGGGTTGCTTTGGAGCATAGGAGTTTCAGACAACTAGCAAATATATCTAGAAAAATTTAAAAAGTGGGGAAGCAAAAAAAATTTAAAATAAGATAATTAACCAATCTTCCTGGGCCAGATTAGCCCCTAAGTAAATTAAATAATTAGAAAATAAGGGTGTGATTGAAAGTACAGTGGTGCCTCGCTTAACGATTGCTTCGTATAACGAAAAATTCACTTAACGATGGCTTTTTCGGAGTGATCTTGTGCTTCACTTAACGATTTTCCCTATGGGCGATTTTCGCTTAACGATTTTGGGACCATGCTTCACTTAACGATGACAGTTTTAGGTCCCCTTGTTTCGCTTAACGTTTTTTCCTATGGGGATTTTCGCTTAAGGATGGTAATCCGTTCCAATTGGAACGGATTACCATCCTTAAGCGAAAATCCCCATAGGAAAAAACGTTAAGCGAAACCCATTGAAATGCATTGAAGCCTATTTCAATGGGGGGAAAATTCACAAAAAATTCAAAAAGACTCAGAACAAAGCCAAATTAAGTTAACGAAGGTTTTATTAGGTGCACTAACGATTCCAAGCATTTTAAACATTTTTAAACATTTTAGAATATTTTCAAAATAGCAAAAACGGGGCTGTAAAAAAAAACGTTAAGCGAAACCCATTGAAATGCATTGAAGCCTATTTCAATGGGGGGAAAATTCACAAAAAATTCAAAAAGACTCAGAACAAAGCCAAATTAAGTTAACGAAGGTTTTATTAGGTGCACTAACGATTCCAAGCATTTTAAACATTTTTAAACATTTTAGAATATTTTCAAAATAGCAAAAACGGGGCTGTAAAAAAAAACGTTAAGCGAAACCCATTGAAATGCATTGAAGCCTATTTCAATGGGGGGAAAATTCACAAAAAATTCAAAAAGACTCAGAACAAAGCCAAATTAAGTTAACGAAGGTTTTATTAGGTGCACTAACGATTCCAAGCATTTTAAACATTTTTAAACATTTTAGAATATTTTCAAAATAGCAAAAACGGGGCTGTAAAAAAAAACGTTAAGCGAAACCCATTGAAATGCATTGAAGCCTATTTCAATGGGGGGAAAATTCACAAAAAATTCAAAAAGACTCAGAACAAAGCCAAATTAAGTTAACGAAGGTTTTATTAGGTGCACTAACGATTCCAAGCATTTTAAACATTTTTAAACATTTTAGAATATTTTCAAAATAGCAAAAACGGGGCTGTAAAAAAAAACGTTAAGCGAAACCCATTGAAATGCATTGAAGCCTATTTCAATGGGGGGAAAATTCACAAAAAATTCAAAAAGACTCAGAACAAAGCCAAATTAAGTTAACGAAGGTTTTATTAGGTGCACTAACGATTCCAAGCATTTTAAACATTTTTAAACATTTTAGAATATTTTCAAAATAGCAAAAACGGGGCTGTAAAAAAAAACGTTAAGCGAAACCCATTGAAATGCATTGAAGCCTATTTCAATGGGGGGAAAATTCACAAAAAATTCAAAAAGACTCAGAACAAAGCCAAATTAAGTTAACGAAGGTTTTATTAGGTGCACTAACGATTCCAAGCATTTTAAACATTTTTAAACATTTTAGAATATTTTCAAAATAGCAAAAACGGGGCTGTAAAAAAAAACGTTAAGCGAAACAAGGGGACCTAAAACTGTCATCGTTAAGTGAAGCATGGTCCCAAAATCGTTAAGCGAAAATCGCCCATAGGAAACATCGTTATACGGTGCATATTATTTTCTAAAAAAACACATCGTTATGCGAATTCATCGCTAAACGAGGCACTCGTTAAGCGAGGCACCAGTGTACCTAAGATGGCAACTGAACTGACACTACAGCAAACTGAAACTATGTTGAATCCGAACACCTCCCAGTCTAAGATGTTGGAAATTGCTCACAACTATCCTCACTTTGGCCTAACTTTGTGCTATCACAGTAGCTGTGGCTGGAAGTGGTATGGATCTGACATAATTCAGCTCCTCTCTCTCCTTGTCCCTTCTCACTCCTTTTCCAGCTGTTCTGCTGTTATCTCAACCAGCGTAGGAGTAGTGCCAACAGATCTTTTATATCAGCTAGTACAAGGAATTATTGCACAAGAGCAATTTTGCTGACAAAACAGATTTCACCCACTCTAAATAGATACATCTTTAGGGTTGCTCTATCAACTAAGAGGGATTCCCCATTTTTAAGCTTCATAATGAATTTACATGTGCAAATCAAAACACATACACACTAGATCAAATACTGGCGAAAATGTCATCATTACTAGTATGTATGAGACTGCATTTACAAGTTTAAATTTATGCAGGGAAAGTGGGGAGTGTGACACACTAATTTCTCTGGAAAAAAACTGAAAATCAGGACAAAATAAAATTGAAGTTCCTTTGTATTTCATGAATAATAATTTCTAAAGCTATTTACAAACTGAAATCTTTTGCTACTTGTTTACTAAATTAACAAAAGCCACATCTAAACACCTTTCCATGCATAATACTAACATTATGGCTACCTCGAAGATATTTTAAGACATTTGATTTCTTGATAAAATCAATGTAGGATTTGAAATAAGGACTCACCCAAAGTGTCTTTCAGATTCTTAACCAAGGATCCTTTCTTCAAGCTGTTCTTTCTCTCAACGTAATTTGATGGCACGTATCCTGTTTTGTTGGCTGCATTTCTTACCCTCCACCATGTTTTAGAATCATCTAGCAGCCAGAGACGCTCATTCTTCTTGATGTCAAGTTCTTGGTCCTGTTGTGCAGTGTAATCCCACTTTGCTATAACAATAACTTCTTCTGTCATCTTTCATGGAGTCCCTCTGTACTAAAACAAACACATTCATTGAAATGATCACTTGAGCTCCTCCATTAAACTTTCAACACTGAAGCATGGAAACATGAAATGGTCTTTAAACAGTACAAGCCCACATGTGCAACGGGCAAAAAACAAACAAAACAAAATAGAAAAACCCCACCATTATGTTTTTGTTGGGGCATTAAAACACACTGGATCCTAGAATGTCAAAACAGAATTCACTGCACACAACTCTTATCAGGATGTAGAACTGTCTGTGCATTCCATCATCTGCTGTCCATTCATCTTTTTCAGGATTTCATTTGTTTGGGCAAAATCTTGTTCCTCATTAAGGAAACACAAACCTGTTCACATCTGATCAGAAAGCCTATCTTCCCAACCACTATCATACTACTTTCATGTCATTTATTGGCACTTACTGACTCCCTATTATTTAATTTGCACTACAGAACCAAAACAAGATTTATTTAACTACTACTGTGAAACTTTCTTCTGTGAGCAGAAACTTACATAGCTATTGCACATTCTGAAAACATATCTACTTCACAGTCTTGTTGCAAAGGCATTATACTGTGTCAAATGTTATTAGGACAAACAGACAAATGAACAGATGGAAATGCATAGGCATAGGTATATAGTGGCTTCCATTTTTATGAGGGCATGAAGGTCAAAGTCAATATAAGACACAAAATGAACAGAAACACCAGCAAGAACGCTACAATCTGTCATTATGGAGCCACAGTTATCACTGAAAATCCCATACATTACTGTATCTGAAGTTTAACCCAAGTCATAAATATGGATATTTTCTGGAATGCATTACCTGTTCTTTACTGCTTAACACGTCACTGTATTGCCAGTACCTAAACCAACACCTCTGTTATGCCTGAATAAGTTTCTGTCTTGATGTGCTATATATTTTTCTTTTTAAACAATATACTAAATTACAGTGTTCCAGAAGCATAAGCCTGAATTAGAGTCATGGGGTGTGGCTCTGAGTTGTATTTGTTTTTCCTCTGAGCTGGAAGCACATGAGCACCAACAGTAGAGAATGTGATGTGGAGATATCCATACCTTTCAAGTTAAAATTGATTTTCCACTGTCAGTGTTATAACACAGAGAACGCAGACTGAATGATTAAAAAAATTCTCTTACTAGCCAATTTTCACTTAGTACAGTCTAAGATAAGGCATTTGGTAATTACATGGGGTTGGAGCAATAACATACTAATAATAAGGGCAGGAGTTACTAATACAAGACAAGATTCATAAGAGGAAAAATGCCTGAGTCCCTATTTTCCTCTGAAAATTTACACTGATAAATTAGTGTTGTGCCATAAAGTTTCAAAAAGTTGTTGTAGTAGTAGTTGTTGTTTTTAACTTTACTAAGGTACTGAGACTGAAAAGAAAGAACTATTTTCCCTTATCAGAAAAAGAAATAATAAATTAAAAAAACAAAGAGAACATAAGGGTAGTGTGGCATTAAAGTACTTTGAAAATTAATATGCACGGCATATGGTTTTGTGGCTCTGAAAGATCAAAGCACCAGCCAATACATATGAAAACACACAGAGAAGATGCCAAAGACCATGTTAGCCCTTTAGGGGGGAAATTAGAAAGCATCAGAAGCATACCCCCAAAGGACCAAGTATGCAATCAAGGATGACATCATGATGAATTTGTCATCAGAAAAGTTATGCCAAGAATCCACCCAGCTACTGTTAATAAGCAGAAACATGCAACCAAGACTTACATGATTTCCCTCACACTGGTGTAAATCTGCAACACTACTCTGGCTAATGTACTGCAAATTGAAGAACCAAGATTTGCATTCTGCCCTGTTGTTTTTCTGGCCTTGACAAAGGGTTTTATGAATTTTAATGCTTGTTCATATTTTTGTGCCTTTGATTTCGGTTGTGCTTCTCACTACACAACAAACAAAACTGCCACTCAGAAGAAATAGATGTGGGAAACTGGGTATACAGTTGTACCCTCTTTAAGCCAGCTAAACATTTCCTCTGTGAGAATTATGCAACAGCAAAGTTCAATTTCTGAACAAAGCCAACACACTGCAATTACAAAACAAACTGCAGGTCAATAACATGATCTAGCCATAGGGAGATTATCGCTGAGCCTGCTCTGGATCAACTTATTGTCAATACACATTTAGATTAATTTAAATTATTCTGAGCAGGGGTGGCTGAAATTCCCCATTATCAACAACTACAGTGTCAGCAGAAACAGCTGACCGATCAGTAGGGGTAACTTGGGACATAACCAGCACAACACTGATCATTAAAATGAACAATAGTCTGTTAAAAAACCTGCCAAAAGAAAGAAAGAAAAAGAAAAGAATGTATTCTTGAAGGCTTTCACAGCTGGGATCTGATGGCTGTTGTAGGTTTTTCAGGCTGTTTGGCCGTGTTCTGGAGGTTTTTTGTTCCTAACGTTTCGCCAGTCTCTGTGGCTGGCATCTTCAGAGGACAGGAGTTAGAACTTCATCCTGGACTCAAAAGACAAAGAATTACTATTCCTACACATCAATATCAGCCAAAAAATTAGAAGTCATGATTGGGACAAGATCAATTCCCTCTCCTACACAAAGATGGAAAAAGAAATGGTGGACCACACAGCCAGACAAAAACAGAAATTCAACAAATGCCAACCAAGTCAACTGAAACCTACACTAGACACCTCACACATCATCAACAACCTATCTGAACGCCAGTGGAAGACATCATTGCCAACATGTAATCAGCCATACACCATCTTCCGGAAGAAAAAGCAACAGAAATATGAGGTAAAGTGACAAGGCTCCTACAAAAAGGAAAAAAAAAACCAAACAGCAACATAACAAGAAAGGAGAGAAACACTAGCAAGTCCCTAAACTAAGATCCTTACATCATCATTCTGCCAGCAGACAAAGGCAACACCACAGTAATCATGCAAACAGAAGAATACAAAGACAAAATCTGGGAACTTCTAGACCCCACCACCTACAGAAAACTGAAACAGGACCCAACCAACAAAATCACAAAACAAACATGCTGATCAGGAGTTCCTCCCTGCACCTCAACGTCATTCAACAAATCTGCAAGACAGAAGCTCTCTCACCAAGACCATATAGACTAACCAAAATCCACAAAGACTCAGTCCCACTCAGGCCAATTATAAGTGCCATTGGCTTCCTGACATGAATTAGCAAAACACCTGGCCATCCTCCTAGAGACCCACATTGGACAAACCTCATCCTACATCAAAGACTCGGGACCTTTCCTAAACAAGATCAGTACCCTAACACTCAACTCCAGGGACAGACCGATCAGCTTTGAGGTAGTATCCCTATTCACCAAGGTACCGATAAGGGACACTCTGACACCCATCCAGCAGATCTTTCCAGAAGACATCACAGCCCTTCTCCATCACTGCCTAATGACCAGCTGTTTTCAGTGGGATAATGATTTCTATGAACAGGCAGATCAGGAGTGGTCATGGGGAGCCCCCTCAAACCAGTTATAGTGAACTTTTACATGGAACATTTCAAAAAACAGGCCCTGGCTTTGGCACCCTTCGCACTCACAGTCTGCTTCCGATATGTGGATGACACCTTCACAATTTGGAAACATGGTGAAGAAAAACTGGAAGAATACCTAAACCATCTCAACAGCATCCACCCAAATATACAATCCAACATGGAAGAAGAAATAAGAGGGCCAACTTCATTTCTTAGATGTCATGGTCATAAGCAAACCTGACCTCCTATTGGGACACAAGGTCTAGAGAAAACCCACCCACACAGACTGGTACCTACACAAAAACTCCAACCACCACCCACAACAAAAAAGAGGCATAATCAAAACACTGGTAGACCGTGCGAATAGGAACTGTGAAGCTCAATTTCTCAGCATTGAACTCAACCATCTGAATTGGGCCCTATAGGCAAATGGCCATTCCAAGAATAAAATCACAAGAGCCATCAAATAAAGAAAACAACACCAAACTGAAGAAGAAAAACTAACCCCCACAAATAAAGTATTTCTGCCATAGCCAGTCGGAGCAGGGAGGCAGTAAAGGTATTGCTGAGGTGGGCTTGGCTATAGTGACGGACAGCTGCTGACTCACTGTTGACAATGGGCAAAGTGCTCGCGAGAGTGATGAGCGGTGTGTGTGTGTCGCACGGTGTGCAGAGGGAAGACTGCATGTGTGCCGGGCCAGCCACTGTGGCTGTCAAAGGGAGACCTCTCTCCTCCTCCTGGCGTGTCCTCTCCTGGGATGACTGCAAACAGGTGTGCGCCAGGGAGGTGGGGGCAGAGGAGATGCAGGGGCTAGTGGAAGGCTGGCTGTGGCCAAGTACTAGCCAGGCTGCTTTACCTGGCCTGTGGCAGTGGACTAAAACTCCCATCCGTCTGGGCTGTGTTGGCTGGTGAGGGCAAACTATAGTCTGGCCCCCCCAACAGTCTGAACGACAATGAACTGGCCCCCTGTTTTAAAAGTCTGAGGACCCCTACACTAGAAGATCCAGATCCATTTTCTGTCCATCCCTTTAAAAAGCCATAGATGACTGACATGAATCCTCATTTTCAAAATAATCTTTAAACCCCTCTCCTTGATCCCAAAGCACTTATGTTGTAGATGGGCACAACAGAACAGGAAGCAAACATTTTGCATTCATGCATTTGCAGATGGGATACACTGAAAATATGCCAGGCAAAATCCAAAGGAAAAAACAAACAAACAAAATGGATGAAAACATGTGGCACCTTAAAAACTATTATATTTTAATGTGAGCTTTTGTGGATCAAGTCTATTGAAAATATTTAGCCTACCTCACTCACTATATATAGTAATATTTTAACTAAGTATTTATTTGTTCTACCTTACCATAAATAGGGACGTGGTGGCGCTGCGGATTAAACCGCAGAAGCCTCTGTGCTGCAAAGTCAGAAGACCAGCAGTTGTAAGACTGAATCCATGCAACGGAGGGAGCTTCCATCGCGTGTCCCAG